CATCAGTTTCCCTGATCCTTCTGTGGCATCTTTGGGGATTGAGTGCTGCTTGATGATGGTTACAGGATGTTTCCAGCCAGGCTGACCTTTCGCCATCCTCAGCTTGACAGGCTCATGCCCACCCCAGGGTCTTCGTAACAGGCAGCTTAAATAATGAGGAAGAAAAGAATGCTTGGAATAATGTTGACCAATAGCGTGTTTGGATTCAGCCATGCATGATTCATTAAGCCAGAGACCCTTCTCCATAACTGTGATCTCGTCTGCTGAGGACTTGATGATCTTCCCTCGGCATCATTCTAACGAAAGCAAAGATGGGATGAATTGAAAGTACAAGGCAAACTGCCCAAAGCTAGTTAGGTCTAGCGGTTAAGATGCTGACCTAAAACCAGGAGACTGTGAGTTCTAGTCCCACCTTAGGCATGAAAACTGGCTGGGTCTTTGATTGGCTTTGGGCCAGTCACCAGGAGATGGTGAGTTCTAGTCCTGCCTTAGGCATGAAAGCCGGCTGGGTGACTTTGGGCCAGTCACCCCAGGAGACAGTGAGTTCTAGTTCTACTTTAGGCATGAAAGCCGGCTGGGTGAATTTGGGCCAATCACCAGGAGACTGTGAGTTCTAGTCCCACCTTAGGCATGAAAACTGGCTGGGTCTTTGATTGGCTTTGGGCCAGTCACCAGGAGATGGTGAGTTCTAGTCCCACCTTAGGCATGAAAACTGGCTGGGTGGCTTTGGGCCAATCACCCCAGGAGACAGTGAGTTCTAGTTCTACTTTAGACATGAAAGCCGACTAGATGAATTCGGGCCAATCACCAGGAGACAGTGAGTTCTAGTCCCACCTTAGGCATAAAAGACGGCTGGGTGGCTGGAAGAAAGTGATTTTCTTGACAACAAAAAATCCTTTAAATTTTAAAATTGGGAGGAGGGGAGAGAACCAGTGTTGTCTTAGCTCTTTCTAACCCTCCCTAAAACAGATTCTCTGGCTGGCTCTCCCCAACTATCCAGAAAAACAGAAAACAAATAACGATGCCAAGCAGAAAGATTCTTCCATAATCATCATCATCATCATCGCTGCTGAGCTATTAACCAGCCTCAAAGGCTGTGAATCTCACTAAAGATTAACCAATAATAATAATAATAATAATAATAATAATAATAATAATAATAATAACAACAACAACAACAACAACAACAACAACAACAACAATAATAATAATAGACTAATAAAAAAAGTCTCAAAAAAGTCCTTACTGCCAAATTTGAGCTAAAGCCAACAGAGTTTGTTCACCGCAGATACTTTTCCGATCGCAGCTGTGGTGTTATTTTAGCATCTTTTGTGAATGGTGACAACCACAGTTTCTGAGTGGGCCATAAATCACTGGGAGGGTTTCCGAGGGGGATTCACCCTCTTTTTTTTCCTAAGACAATCGCTCGATAATTAGAGTATTTAAAGGATAAGAGCTTTCCATGCTCTTAATACTGTCATGCAGGATTTTCACAGGGACTAGAATGGAGAAGGCCTTTTCAGTGCAGGTCCTCAATTTACAACAGTTCGTTTAGCGACTGTTCAAAGGGACAACATCAGCGAAAAATGCAACTTACGACCGGTTTTCCACACTTACACGACCGTTGCAGCGTCCCCACTGTCACGTGAACAAAATTCAGACGCTTGGCAGCTGAACTCATATTTACGACGGTTGGGTGGCAGTGTCCCGGGGTTATGTGACCCCCTTTTGCGACCTGCAAAGTCAGTGGGGGAAGACAGATTCACTTAACAACCGTGCTATTAACTGAACGATGGCAGTGATTTGTTTAAAAACTACGGCCAGACCGTCATAAAATGGGGCAAAATTGCCGTAACGAATGTCTTGCTTCGTGACCGAAATTTGGAGCTCAAGTGTGAAAAACGGTCATAAGGGACTTTTTTCAGGGCCTCCGTAACTTCGAGCAGCCACTAAACAAACGGTTGTAAATTGAGGACGCCCCGTACGGAAGGAACGTTTTGCTTGGGCGTTCGACGCTTCTTGGATCTCTTTCGGTAACTTGCCATATATCCTTCAAACAAGAATAAACAGCAAGAGGTTTTCAAATTGTTCTCTCCTCTGAGTAATTTCCTGTGACAAGTTACTGCCAGAGCATAAAATATTTATAGGTTTTGCTATGGTACGTTAATTACAATAATTGGGTTTTAAAAAGGCATAGGGAGAGGTAATTGAGGAAGAGGCTTTGATAAGGATACGGAAGTAAGTATCTTGTAATAAAAACATGATAATTGGTCAGCTGATGCACCTTGAGACTTCAAGTTTTGCTTTTATACATATAGCAGGAGGAAGGAAGGAAGGAAGGAAGGAAGGAAGGAAGGAAGGAAGGAAGGAAGGAAGGAAGGAAGGACGGACCACGGTGGTACAGTGCTTAGAAAGCAGTATTGCAGGCTGACTCTGCCCACTGCCAGGAGTTTGATCCTGACCGGCTCAAGGTTAACTCAGCCTTCCATCCATCCGAGGTGGGTAAAATGAAGACCCAGATTGTTGGGGGCAACAGGCTGAAACTGTAAACCACTGAGAGAGGGCTGGAAAGCACTTGTGAAGCAGGATATAGATCTAAGTGCTATTGCTAAGTGCTAAGGATGGATGGATGGATGGATGGATGGAAGGAAGGAAGGAAGGAAGGAAGGAAGGAAGGAAGGAAGGAAGGAAGGAAGGACGGACGGACCATGGTGGTACATTGGTTAGAAAGCAGTATTGCAGGCTAACTGTGCTCACTGCCAGGAGTTCGATCCTGACCGGCTCAAGGTTGACTCAGCCTTTCATCCTTCTGAGGTGGGTAAAATGAGGACCCAGATTGTTGGGGGCAAGAGGCTGACTCTGTAAACCACTTAGAGAGGGTTGTAAAAGCACTTGTGAAGCAGGATATACAGTAAGCCTAAGTGCTATTGCTCTATCCGCGAGCCCTTTCCCTTCTATAATGTTTTGTGCGCTGAGCTACGTACAACTTTCAGAGCACATATCTCACTAAAATCTGTACTTTATTACGTTTTATTAACTTCGCTTCGACTTCTTCAGGCAGAACAAAACGACAGAACCAGATTTAAAGGCCTGAAACAAAAAAAAAACGGGAACATTTTTATCGGTGGGAACAGAGGTACTTCTGAAGCCCTTTACAGAACGTTTGGAAGGAATTATGAAATTCTGTGTTAGCTGCGGAATGCTGAATGCAGAATGTGTGCATGTTTTTAAAACAAAACTCAGAATTAAGTACAAGTAGCCCTTGCCTTCAGACTGCTTAGCGACGGTTCGAAAATATAGGTAGTCCTCGACTTACAGCAGATCGTTTAGTGACCGCTTGAAGTTACAACAGAACTGAAAAATGACCCTTTTTTTCACACTTAACAACCGCTGCTGAATCCCCATAGTTATGTGATCAAAATTCAGATGCTTGGCAACTGACTCATACTTATGACGGTTGCAGCTTCCCGGTGCCACGTGATCGTCTTTTATGACTTTCTGACAAGCAGAGTTCATGGGGAAACCAGATTCACTTAAACAACTGTGTTTCTAACTGAACAACCGCAGTGATTCACTTAACAACAGTGGCAAGGAGGGTCGTAAAACGGGGCCAAACTCAGCTTAACAACTGTTTTGCATAGAAATGTTTGAGGCTCAGTTGAGGCCTTCCTATCTCAGCTTTTGGCAGGACAAGGACAACTCTATACCACTTACCTGAAAAAGGGGATTTAGGACCCAGATCCAATGTTGTGACAGTTGCCCCCCTTCCCCCGCATGGTCATATGACTGTACTTTGGGCCCTTTGCATCGTCCTGCGGTCATGTGACCACTTTTTGGGACAATCGTGCCCATAGCAAATATATATATATATATATATAGATGCACACTTACAACCACCGCATTTGCAGAACTACCTCTGCAAAAAAAGGGGGGAAAAATCATAAAAATCAGGTTGGTGATGTTACCGCTCCATTTGAAGCTGTTACGACTCACAACCACAATGGTCGTAACTCAAAGACTACCTATATATCTATTACAGTCGTAACTCGAGGACTGCCTATCTAATAAAACAGCGTCCCAATCGTATATTTAAAACACGCATGCTAAAAGGAAACTCCTCCTCTCCCTAAGTGGCTAAGAAATCTCTTATTTTATTTATTTAAAAGAATGACTTAAAAAGCTTCTGAAAAGCAGATTGGGAGACGGTGTGAAGTTGCCCTTTTTACATCCTACAAGACATTTGTAATTATTATGTGTAACAACGCATAATAATCCACAGTAATGTTATATTATGTATAATTTAACCTATTGTGTATGGAAGACATGATGGATGTTAGAAACTAATATGCAGTTGCAAACGAATGAATCTTACGCCAGCAACGTAGCCCTTTGGTGCTCTAAAATCTATAAGGAGAAAAAGAAAATGAATAGAGTTTTCAGAAGCCGTGGCCGAAAAAAGGAGCTTGAGTTAGTAAGGTTTTCAGAGGTATGTAATTTATTACATATTTGGCATAATGTGGAATTTATAGGTCTGACTTTGTTCACTGATACCGTACTTGTTTCAGTGATAAATACTGAGACATACAACATTAATTAATTTACTGGTTGCTTTTAACACTGAGTTAGATTTATGGCTCTTGAAATACAGGGCATTGCACTCGGTGGCACGCAGAATACATATTATTAACTGCTCAGAGTTGTTGGGAGTTGGGCAGCATACAGATTTAGTACTGCTAAATATCATGCTACCCTGCTTTTTATTTCAAGGGAAAGAGGTACAGGAGAAAATGTCATATGGTTCACAAAAGTTAATCTCTCAGGGAAAAAAAATAATCTTTCTGAGAGAGCCAGTTTGGTCTACTGGTTAAGGCACCAGGCTAGAAGCCAGGAGACGATGAATTCTAGTCCTGCCTTAGGCATGAAAGCCGGCTGGGTGACTTGGGGCCAATTGCCAGGAGATGGTGAGTTCTAGTACTGCCTTAAGCAAGAGAGACAGGTGGATGATTTTGGGTTGATTGCAAGGAGATGGTGAGTTCTAGTCCTGCCTTAGGCATGAGAGACAGCTGATGACTTTGGACCAGTCATCTATGGGCTTCCGGATTATGGGCATGCATTCACCAACTCCCCCAACTTCTGACTTGGAACTGGGATTGTATGAAGGATCCTAACAATTTATCTTCCACTCCAATTAATGGCAGTCCCCACTTTGCTGCAGTTCTTTATTGAAATTAAGAGCCTTGGTACTACAGTGGTTTAAAGCACCCTGTTATTAACACAGCTGCCTGCAATTTACTGCTGGTTCGAATCTCTCCAAGGCTCAAGGTTGACTCAGCCTTCCATCCTTTCTAAGGTAGGTTAAATGAGGACCCAGTTTGTGGGGGCAATAAGCTGACTTTGTATAAATATACAAAAGTATGAAGGCTATTGCTTAACGCACTGTAAGCCGCCCTGAGTCTCCGGAGAAGGGCGGCATATAAATCAAATTTAAAAAAAAAAAAAAAAAAAAAAAATTAAAACTGTTCTATTCCGACATGCTTTCAGTCACAGGTAACTTAATATGGGTTTTATCTTTGCTTCTATGGTGATTTTTTTAGTTTGGATGTTGGCATGGATTTAGTTCTTTATTACTATGGTTTTTGGGGCTCTTGTTTTTTTCTTGAAGATCTTTCGCTTCTCCTCCAAGAAGCTTCTTCGGTTCTTGACTGAGTGGTGGAGGATGGAAGGATTTATATTCCTTGCAGTCATCTGGTTATTGTCACTCTTCCTGAGAGTCGTTGAGGCCACTTGGAGGTTTATCTGTGCCCTCAGGGTCTCGTGAATAGTGCAAATGGGTGTGGAACAAAGCACCTATGTTGTGTGCTGTCTAGTCTCCTTTGGGATCAAAAAGAGACAGACAACAGACACATAGATAGAAAGCAGATATATAAATAGGACATAGATAGAAACATGATGGATGGATGGATGGATGGATGGATGGATGGATGGATGGATAGAAGATAGACAGACAGACAGATAAGACATAGAAAGGTAGATTTGAAAAACTCACGGAATTAACTAATCAAAAGCATTGTAAGTTGCCCTGAGTCTCCGGAGAAGGGCGGCATATAAATCAAACTAATAAATAAATAATAAAAGCTTCTCCCATTTCATTATTATTTCTAGATTGCTTTTGGAGCTTCTGGAACTTCTCTTTGACAAATTCAACGCCGTGGCCGCAGCTCACGCCATCGTCCTGGGACATCTCCAGCAGACTGTGTCTTTTCCTTCTAGCCAGTACGATGGCGATATTAAGCTGTACGACATGGCAGACGTATGGGTGAAGATCCAAGACGTCTTGCAGGTAAGAAACTCCCACAAATATACAGTATACCCTTTCTTAGAGTGATGGCTTTTTTTCCCCCAAGCACAGGTCTTGGAAAGCTGAGCTCCCTCCCTCCCTCTCCCTCCCTCCCTCTCTCTGTAAGTTGTTAGCAAAGGCACAAGTTTGAGCAAGAAGGTTTGATTACATTTTCGAAGAGGTAAGCTGTACGCTACGGAGGCGCTGCGAGAAATAGATTTCCCAGGGAGATTTTTTTCCCCTCTTCCCTGCATGCTGGGACATATTGTCATCAGGTTGTGAATGTTTCCACCCTTGTTGTGCAGCGTTGTTGTCTTCTGGGTGAGAGGAACAGGGCTTAAAGCGCAGGTCCTAGTAAGACAGGTTTTGTGTGCATTACAGTTGAGATGTGTAGAGGAAGGCCTAACGGTCGAAAGTCCTGATGCTCTAGTGCAGGGATGTCAAACTTGATTTCATGGAGGGCCGCATCAGGGTTGTGATGCAGCCCTCCAACTACGGAGGTCATTGCCCCCCCACCCTGTGAGATATTCTCCCCCCCCAGAGGTGTGGCAGACCCCCCACTCTCCTGACCTTCCGACAAAGAATCAGAACATGGCTTTGCGGCAGTGGTGGAATTCAATTTTTTTTACTACCGGTTCTGTGGGCGTGGCTTGGTGGGCGTGGTGTGGCTTGGTGGGCATTGTTGTGATCTAGGCTTCCTGACTCATTAAAACACACGAGTAGTCCCAAAAACCTCTTTTATTACGTTCATTCACAGGTGAGTCTCAATTAGTTGCAAAAAGTCCTTCGGGAGAAGTCCTTCGGGATAATCACCAACCTTTATCTCCCTTGACACGCTGCCAAAGACCTACTTGGCAAAGCCACACGGAGTCCAGAATCAAACAGAGATGCCGACTGGGAACAGAATTAACAATGTTGCTTTCCTGCAAAGGGCCCACGTGCCTTTGCTCCTCTTTTAAGCCTTATGGGAGGAGCCAATCATCTCCAGGCCTTATTCCCGAGTCGTCCCTTTAGTTTTAACTGTTCTTGCCTTCTGGCAGCTCTGTGCATGCGCGCACTAGGAACAGGCTCCCCCTGTTCCTCTGCCTCTCTGATGTCCGACTCTGGAAGCTCCGGAGTCCGCGCATAACTCCCAGATGGCCTTGGCCCCATCTCTGCCTCCGACGCAGAGCCCTCGTCTGAGCCTTTCCCAGACTCCAGGACTGGCCCATGTTCCTCCTCAGCCTCCTCACTGTCTGACTCCACTGCCAGCTCTGCAGGATGCTGGTGGACCACAACAGGCGTGGCGGGGGAAGGATACTGCAAAATCTCCATTCCCACCCCACTCTGGGACCAGCTAGAGGTGGCATTTGCCGGTTCTCCGAACTACTCAAAATTTCCTCTACCGGTTCTCCAGAACCTGTCAGAACCTGCTGAATGGCACCCCTGCTTTGCGGCCTCCTGTGGGGGACCTAGAGACTGGCCATGGGACTGACCACGTCCTCCTTCCATCTTTTAAGTAGTTTTAACAGCATTTAATCCTCTGTGCCTCCTTGTCAAATTGCAATTTTTATCAGTTGCTTTTATTTTATTTTTTAACATTTTCTAGTATGCCACCCAGGGTGCCTCTCTTGAGGGACACGGACATTTTTCAAAAAAATGTGAAAAATGAATACGAGAAATACCCCTGCTGTGATTATTACGAAGGAGCCTGAAATGGCTCCTGATTTCTCCATTTTTAGCGTTAAGTCAGTGTTGTTTATGTCTTTAGTCTGACACATTTTCTATATAGGGCTAGGTTGTTAGATGTATCCCGAACGATTCGATTCAGCTGGAGTTGCAGATACAGTCCTTCAGATAAAAATGGGATGCGGAATTAAAAAGCAGAACAAGATTTAAAACGTGGACCATTTTGTGCGCAGCACAATGGAGACGATGTGACAGGCATTCTGTGGAAATCGGTTAGTAGTTATTTGCTTGTCAGTGTGGTGGATTATAGGTGAGATTCAAATCGGAAGCAAAAAAACAACAACCAAAAAACGATATAATAAAATAAATCCTGGTAGGGACTTTGTCCCTAGGACCGTTGCAATTTAAATTTTGTTTCGGGAGGGCAGAGAAAGAGAGACAAGTCAAAAAAAAAATGCAAATGGTAATGAGCGGTGAAAATGAACTAATATTACATATTGAAGCTTTAGTTTTGGTCAGAGATGAGGTTTGAGGCGTGCAGAAAATCAGTTCTTAATAAGATAGCAGATTGATAATTGCTTAATTACATAGCCCAGTTCACATGGGAATGTGGAGAAGTAAGAAAACTCTTATTATCTTCACCTAAAATCCATGATTAAATGTATAAAATGCAGCTGCTCTCCAAGTGCACAGAGGGGTCCTGGGTTGGCCCTTTCTAAGTTTGTGCTCCGAAGACGACGGCTTTTTGCACATGAATGGAGGCCAATCATCCGTGTCCCAGGATAATGTTTCAGGATCCAATCTGGATCCTGGTCACCGGGACCAGAGTTTTAGTCTTCCGAGCTTTCGGACTCTCTTCTAAGCACTTGGGTAAGGGGTTGGACTAGAAGACCTCCAAGGTCCCTTCCAGCCCAATGATTCTGTTTCTATGGAGCCCACCCTCAGGGAATGCCTCTCTACAGAATATGTGCTTTGGGCTATTCTCTGTGTTACTAATAAAGGACAAATATTTGAAGCCCAGGGTTGACATGAGAGCTCCTTGGTGCTCCCTGAGCTTGCAGATGTTAGGGTATACACTAGCACTGATGATGTTACCTAGTTTGGGTAATGAAACGTCTGCAAGAAAACAAGCAAGCTCAGAGAGCACCAAGGAGCCCTCATATTCTATGTGTAGTATTTATGTGGGGTCTGGTTGTGTGTGGCTTTTTATTTGTTGATTGGGGGTATTGATGGTCAGCTGTTAAGTCATTGGCTGTTGTTTCTTTGTGCTGCCAAGTCCTAGGTTCCTAAATACTTGATAAACTGAGGTTAAATCACTCCTGTTGACTGACGAGGGGTTCGTTTCCCAGCCTTCAATTATATCCCTGGCTGTTTTTGTACCTGCTCAGCCAACAATCTTAGTAGCTGGGAAATTGAATGTATGTCCTTGTTCATCGCCGTGTGAGGCTATTAATGAGTTCGGGTCTCTTTGTCTGACCACTCGGTTATGTTCTTGCAATCTGGTTTACTACCACTTTATTAGGTTTCCTTCCTTCCTTCCTTCCTTCCTTCCTTCCTTCCTTCCTTCCTTCTCCTTCCTTCCTTCCTTCCTTCCTTCCTTCCTTCCTTCCTTCCTTCCTTTCTTCCTTCTTCCCTCCCTCTCCTCTTTTTCCTTTCCTTTCCTTTCCTTTCCTTTCTTTCCTTTCCTTTCCTTTCCTTTCCTTTCCTTTCTTTCCTTTCCTTTCCTTTCCTTTCCTTCCTTCCCTCCCTTCCCTTCCCTTTCCTTTTCTTTTCTTTTCTTTTTCCTTCCCTTTCCTTTCCTTTCCTTTCCTTTCCTTTCCTTTCCTTTCCTTTCCTTTCCTTTCCTTCCTTTCCTTTCCCTTTCCTTTCTTTCCTTCCCTTCCCTTCCTTCCCTTTCCTTTCTTTCCTTTCTTTTCTTTTTCCTTCCTTTCCTTTCCTTTTCCTTTCCTTTCCTTTCCTTTCCTTTCCTTTCCTTTTTCCTTCCTTCCTTCTGCATATGTTCCAATTGGAACAGAAGTGCAATATGGATAATTGGCGAATAGGATGCTAAGTGGTATGAGGAGATATTGAACAACAACAAAAAAAAACCCTTGGTGGGTTTGAGAGAGGATATAGGAGCCCCCTGTAGCTACCTAAAGGGTGGGATTCTGAGCTGTTCTCTATTGTTCCAGAGAAGATGCACAACGATGGAGGCCCATTATAGGAAGGGAAGTCGGACTCGAGGGGTTTAATAGTCCCCCCCTCAGTTCCACGAGTCTGTGTTTTATGTTATTAAAGATAAGATTGCCGGCTGCATTTGGTTTCAAGCTAGAAAGCAAGCAAAAATCTATTTGCAGGGAAGCAGAAAAACATTCCACACTAAGTTAAATAAAAGCGCTCTCTCTTGTATAAACATTGTCCTTCCTGGCATGTGGAGTGAGACCAGCAGGACCGGGAGACGACAATGATTGATTGACACAAGTGACAGAAGTTTGAATTTGGAGGCGGCGTAGACCTTCACGGATTACGGACCCTGCTTTTCGCAAATACGGGAGGAAGAAGGCCCTCTAGGAAATTCTAGTAATTTGTAGGGATTGTTATAATCCTCCTCCTACACCCGGGGAAGATCACAACGGAGGAAGCCGATTTGAACTGTAGAGCAGTGTAGAACTGCAGATTTAATAAATTAACGCTCTCTTGTTTGGAAGGGAAACTTAATTAATTTCTTGCTTGCTCAAAGAGTTAGAAGACACGGCGAAGAGAACGTTTGAACTTTTTGCTATCCTTTGCTCTGATGGAAACCATGATGGAAAATCAGCTTCTCTTAATTGGGAGGGACGTCATCAACATACTGTTGAGCCCACTATATTCTCCCTTTGAAACTCCCCCCCCCCAATTCTAATAACAATATCAAGATGAGAGATGAGAACTCTTCTAACCGTTGACTCGTTGTGATATTTTTTTCGGTTTCCAAACGAATAACCTGAAGACTTTTTGAAAGAGAGCACCAGAAAAACACAGTTCTGACAGGTGGGGTTGACTTAGTGTGTGTCTGAATCTTTTCCAAACATTGATGCGTTACTTCGGTTGTGAGCAGATGGGACTTGTGGGCAGAAAACGGGTGAGGAAGCAACTGTCAAGATTAGTGTAATCACGCCTACGTGTGGTGTGTGCTTTACCTCACAGACGCGTTCTTCAACTCGAGGTTCGTATGTTGCAAAAGAAAAAAGCTCCTATCCTTTTAACCCTGCTTATTTTTGTAAGCGTTTATTTGATTTTTTAGGAGTTTTTTTTTTTTTAAAAGATGGGTTTCACAATATCTTTAAAAGATACAAACGATGAGAGTTCTTTAAAAA